ATTTATTTGAAAGGCACTTTGACAGAAAGAGAAACAGAGAGATCTTCTATTCTTTGATTTGCTCTCCAAATGCCTGTACCAGCCAGGGCTAGGATAGGTCAAAGCCAAGAGTCAAGGAATTCCATTTGTGTGTCCTATGAGGGCACCAGAAACCCAAGTACTTGGGCCATCATTTACTGCCTTCCCAATTAGCAGGCAGCTAGAGGAGAAGCAGAGTTGAGATTCAATTCCAGGTGTTTGGATCTGGGATGCAGGTAACCCAAGCAGTGGGGTAACCTGCTGTGTCACAACACCCTCCCCAAATTCATTTAATTCTATTTTCCACAAACATTTTATATTTCCCTAGGGTGTGCCTGGGTTAGCATACCCATGTAGAGTTCCTTATTCTATCAATGGAGAAAACCTGGAAACAATCCCACACTTGATTTATTACCATTCTCAAGAAATAGCTGCCTCTAAGGATGGGGTAAGAAATGCACAAAATGATTCTAGAGCACCTTATAGTGCCAGAAATTAAGGTGCTAAACAAGCAAACAAAAGGCCACAGATGGGGTATGTCAAAATGACAGAGCCACATGAAGGAGCTCTCAAAGTTCAATTTGTGCAAAGAAATGAAGTAGCATTAAATTATATCTTGAGGTATAAAAGAAGTAGTTGTGATCCATACTGATATAAATAAGCAACTGAAAATAATAAAGACAAATTCTCGGGTTGAGGAACCCTAAATAATCTATGTGTATACTTGAGGAGAGGCTGCATAACTCCCCTCTCCCTAAGTGTGGGCTGAGCACACTGTTATCCTTTTCCAGAGTACCGTATGGAGGGAGACTTGGGGAGAGTGGCTGTCGCTCCCCCTCTTCGTGGAGGAACGACACAGAGTCCTGCCTAGGCTTCATATCCGAGTCACGGCACCATTATGTCGCTCCCCCTCTTCGTGGAGGAACGACACAGGACCCTGCGCTGTTCTTTCGTCTGCTCGGCCCTCCCCGGGTTTGCTGCTGGTTCTTCCCGGGTTGGCTACTATCCCTTCCACCTCCGTGGAAGGGCAGTTCCCCCTGGCCACATTCCCCACTTCCGCAGGGGAGCGGCACACCGCCGGCCGGCTTTCTCAGGGGCTGCACAGGTGTTCCTTCAGCTAGATGTTCCCCTTAGATGTTCCTGGTGCATGCCGTTTCTCTCCTCCTTTATAGTCCTCCTCCGCCAATCCTAACTCGGCTGCCCACACGCCGAGTACGCTGCTCTCCTCCAATCAGGAGTAGGTCCTACAGTTTATTGGTTGAACTGGAGGCAGCTGCGTAGAAGCTGTTTACTTCTCTCCCAGCGCCATATTGTGGGAGAGCAGATGCATAGAATAAGTCTTAATTCCAGTAACTCAGTCCAGTCCGGGCTGCTCCCCACAAGTGGCAATACTTGCAGTGTAAAAACCTGGAAAACACTATCTCAGCCAGATGAGCAAGGTTAAAACCAGTAGTGATATGCCATGCTGATTGTATGTCCCCCTGACATGATGTGATCAGAATGACACATGAGCTCTTAGCCTTCCTCCCTAAACCCATCTAACCATGAGAAAAATGTCAGATGAGGGGCATTCTACAAAGTATTTGACCAGTACTCTTCATATATGTCAAGGTCATCAAAAATAAGGAAATCTGAGAAACTGGCACAGTCACTAGAAGTCTAAGGAGACATGATGAATAATGTAGTATAGTACTCTGGATGGAATCCTGCTTCAAATTGGGTATTTAGTCCCACCTGCCCCTCTAATCTGGGGGATTAAGCAGAATTGAAGGAACCTTCCGTTCAGATATACCTCCGCCCTTCTATATCATGCTACATCAGCGACCAGCTCTGAAGAATCATTCACTCTCTACCTTCTACCGGAGATCTAGAGACAAAGTTCATCTCTTGGCATTCCCCTCCACCCTACCATCTTTTCTATTATTTTCAGTCCAGAGTTTGGACTATGTCCTCATGTCGTCAAAGATAAACTTTGCTATTGTTCCTTCTCTCTTTCTTGGGAATAGGGAGCAATTTTTGCATTTGGTACATAGGAAAGATCTTGATTCCAACACGCTTACTAGCAAGTCAGGTATTACTTTAATTTCATAGAAGAGTAGTCATTAAAAAGAAAAGTTATCTGCAATCCCCAGCACTCTCCCCCTTCCTTCCCAGTATCTTGGATTCATTTTACGTTGTTTTACAGTAGATTACTATAGTGTCTTGTGACACCTCTTTGAACTTTAAGGCAGACAGAGCAGTATTATCCTATGTATGTTTTAGTATAGCAGCAACTCCTGAAACAGTAAAGTCAATCTCCATTCCACATCAGATTTTGCCAGGCTTCTGGCTAGCAGCAAGGAATTCTAACACAGATTGACCTGGGATTTCTTCAAGATTCCACCTAGATTTTGCAATAAAATGTCCTGTAGTTAAGTGTTTGCATTGCCCCAAATAGAATTTTTTCTTTCAGTATTTATACCTACTATGTGTGAGGTTTTGAGTCTCCAGTGCCAATTGAATTTGACTTTTCTGATTTTAATAAAAATTGTACTTAAGATTTGGTATTGCCATCAAACTCTTTCCCAAAATTCTTTTTGTTATATCATGTCTTTCCCAATTACCCACTGGGTACATATTAAACAAGAGGACTCAAAAATAATAATGTGCTATAAATACATTGCCATAAGTCAGTTACATTTACAGCACTTTCCTGTTCAAGACACTTTAGAAAATGAAAACAAGGAGTCAGGACACTTTTAAAAATAAATGTATACAGGCATGAAGCTGAAATATCTCAACATTCTGTAAGAAAGATTTAACTGAAAAGAAAAGATATGAGATTTTTCCTATAACTTTGTACCTATTCTCAAACTTCCTACTCTGTTAAATAAGTAAAGACAATTCTCTGTTAGACTGGGCAGTTAACACTGCTATTGAGCAGCATCGAATGTAGGGATCCCAAGGGACTGAGAGAGTGTGTGTGCTCTTTATAGATTGCACAAGTTGTGTGACCTCCCTTGAGGAATGTGCTGATTGTCACTCAGGGCTCTGCCCTCTGCCCCTCTGCCATCCACCAGTGCCCAGGGATATTTTAGCTCAGCAGAGTGGCTTTCATCAATGCCATAATTTTGGTCTCTGTATTCTGTCTCCTTCTCCTTCCTTATTGGAACTATATTCATATTATTTTTAAAACAAGTCCATTTAACTTTATTTCATCATTATCATGGAAGGTTTGATTTTATAAAACATTTTTTAAGAGTTTTGTATCACAGGAACATAAACAGTAGAAATATATATTGCTTCCTGGTCTCAATCTACATGAGTTAAAATCAAATAATTAGAAATTTTTTCAATACAGAAACAATGCAATGGAATAAATGACAAAAGGATTTAATAAAACATTTAATTATTAGTACTTTCAGGCTCTACACAAAGAGTCTACCTATTCAGACTTCTTTTGCTGCATTTTATATTTATATATAACCTCCCTATCTATATTCTGAATCAAGCTACTTTACCAAAATGTACGATTCAGGAAAGTGTTTAGTTTTGTAGCAAAAGATTTTCCATCTACAGTTACCACCTTGAAAGGAACTGACATTACAATGCTGACAAAATCTTCCAGTTCCTTTTAAATCTTGGGCAGCCAAATCAAGACATCAGCACTGAGGTAAGTCCAACAAGTTCCCTCAAAATGGAAAATTATGCATGAGTCATTAAAGTATGAAGTTGGCTTCCCCATTTAAAAATTAACCAATAAAGAAAAGATATCAATTTTGGTTGACGTGGTTTAAGGAAAATCACATGTGAGAATAACAATGACCTTATTTTTACCATGTCATCATCAGTCATTGACAAGAATTTTGCCAGCAATGATGCTATTTACATTGTGGGTGGTAGTAATCAATGAGTGAATATGGACTTCTAATAATCAGCAATGAAAGGTAGTGTTAACTATTCCGATGCTTCCATTACAACCCAATCTTTTCACTAATCAGTAGATCCAATGGACCTGCATTGGGGATAAGATCACTAAAGCACTTTTCCAAAAATGAAAACACCCTTCTGGTATCTTTCACAACAAGATATTTTGAAGCACTCATTGTTAGAAAAGATAGGTTACCTTGATCTCTAGTCACCAATTTATTTTCCTCAAAATAAACTTACATCTTCTTCTAATTTTTAAGCTTCCTGATTTTACAACTCACCTTTTAAGTTAATTTTAATATTTATTATTTGTATGCTATTGTAATCTTTTATTCTATCTTCCCAAATGTTTAGGTTTTTCAGTTCTTTTCATTTATTTCTTAAATTTCAGCATCGTAATCAGCTTTAGTTCTTTCAGAGTTGTGTTTGAGTTTTATCCATGTTTTTCTCTTTATATTTTAACTTTCTATTAAACTGTTCATTTTTAAGCTTCTGTGGTTTTGTATAATTTGTTTTATTTCATCAATGTTTTGTTTATTCATTTATAGCTCAACCTTTTATGTGGCCTCTCTTTTTGCTTCTGTTATTTTTCCTTTATACCTTTATCTCTTAATTTCTGCTCTTATTAACATTTTGCCTCTTTGAGTTCATCTATTTATAACATCCTCAGCATCTTGATGTTGGTTGTTCCTTAATTTTTTTTTCATACCAGTCCAGGAACACCAGGTTAGGGATATTTACAGAGCAGGCACCTCAACACCAGAAGTAATAAGCACTTATTTGTTTCCACTCATAACCCTAGCTGTCTCTCTGGCTTTAATGAACTTCTTGTTCCCAAAAATGTTGTTCCAGCCCATCCTCTCCAAATCATACACTGAGTAAACTGGAATACGCATAGGCTAAAATTCCTCCCTATAAGCATTAAAAGTACTATGCAAATGATTAATTTACATCGCTGGAATAATGTTGTTTTCTTCTATCCAAAACTTACTTCTTTTCTGATTATAAAGATAATAGTAAATTTAACCAGGTATGTGAAAGATCTCCACAATTAAAATTACAAAACAGCCGCTGAAGAAAGATGGCGGAAGAAGAGCAAAGAAAAAGGATTCCATTGGTTCCAGAAAATCTCCTGAAAAAGAGGAAGGCTTATCAAGCCCTCAAAGCCACACAGGCAAAGCAGGAGCTTTTGGCCAAGAGGGAGAGGAAAAGAAAAGAATTCAGGTTTAAGCGACTGGAGTCCTTTGTGCACAATTCCTGGCGGCAGCGACGGGATGCAGTCCGGCTCCGACGACTGAAAGTGAAACCTCGTGCCTTGGAAATGCCAGACAAGCGTTCCTTGGCCTTTGTTGTACGGCTCCAAAGGATTAACGGGGTGAGTTCACTGGTGGAGAGGACCATTGCAAGACTTCGCCTGAAGAAACTGTTCAGTGGCGTCTTTGTCCAGGTCACCCCCCCAAACCTAAAACTGCTGCGGATAGTGGAACCTTACGTGACCTGGGGATTTCCAAATCTGAAGTCTGTCCGGGAACTCATCCTGAAACGTGGGCAAGCAAGGGTCAACAATAAGAGCATCCCTCTGACGGACAACACCGTGATTGAGGAGCACCTGGGGAGATTTGGTGTCATCTGCTTGGAAGACCTCATTCATGAAATTGCCTTCCCGGGGAAGTATTTTCAGAATATTGCGAGGTTCCTGCGCCCTTTCCAGCTGTCAGTGGCCCGTCATGCTAGCAAGAACAGAGTGGGCTTCCTCAAGGAGATGGGCTCACCTGGCTATCGGGGTGAACGCATCAATCAGCTCATCCGCCAGCTGAACTAGACCCAGGATATCTGAAAAGATGTTTTTTTGGAATTATTATCAAGTATCTTCAGAGAAGATTTTCTTCCTTATCCCCGGAAATTGGAAAGGGCAGATCAAGGGAAAGATAGTTGCGATCATGGCAGGCACCTCATCCCTACCCGGTTCCAAGGAGAGGTTCCACTGTCTTCCATCTTGGGTGCTGCCTCCTCTGGACTCAGCACTGACCATTGAGGAAGGAGTCTTCCTTTGTCACAGCTTCTGTCCTGGCATTTGATTTTGGCGAATGACTGGCCGGAGCATCTGTCAAGATTTCCCAAGACTTGGGGACTGCCAGGGCCTTGTTTTGAAGAGACTTGAAATACAGTTAGGAAGCGGAGCACCAAAACAGTGCTCAGCTGTGTCTGCTGTGGATCCATGTTCCAGCTGCTCAGTGACGACTGCAGGCACTCTCACTTGGCTGGCTCTCAATGTGTCTGATGGCTTTTCTGTTCTAGCTTGCAGCTGCTGTACTCCTTTACTTAGCTCAGAATTTTTCAAAGGAAGGATCCCTTCACCGGGCAAACACATACCCAAAATTTTACTTGGAATTTCAGGGAGCTCATAGAACCCCTCTCAGGCAGCTGAGCCCCCGGGGCGAGGAAGTCCGGCTCTTAAGGAGGGTTGGTCTCCCAGGCCTTCATCTTGCTAATCTCTGGTTCCGAATCCTGCAGAATACCGGAGTTCACCAAGGTGGCTTTTTCCCATCAAGCCAGTTGGGTGTTTTCCGCTAGCACACTGGCAGCCCTTGTGGCTTCTTGTGCCATCTGTAAGTCTGGAAGTGCCCACCCTTTCCCCCTCTGGCTTGGGGGTTGAATTTCCTGGTTTCCCTGATGATGAAGCATCAGATCAGGAAGTGGCGAACCATTTTCTCAGTTTGGTTTGAGTGAAATTAGCACTGTGGCTTTTTAAGGCCCCAAATAAACAGCTTAGTTGCACCTTTTCCTTTCATATTCTAGACCCCAGAAGTCTTGCTCTTTATCCTGTTGATGACATAATAGGCCAGCAACAAGAGTTATGGGGAAATTAATCCTGGGGAGGGAGGGGTTAGTCAGTCAGTACATCTTTGTCTTTCATCAGCGGTCCAGCCCTAAATTGCCTCAGCTTGTGATCTAAGCAGTTGGTGAGGATGTGCCAGGCCTAAGTTAAACAGGAAAACCTGCTTTAGGGCTGTGTTCCTGGGTCCCTTCAAATCAACTTTGCTTTAATTTTGGCTCATGGAGCCCTTAAACATAGCTGTGAACTGAGTTAGCAGTAAAACAATGCATTAAAACATGCCAGGTTGTGAGGTAATTAATTAGGATGGTTGGCTCCAGAGTTCACCTGGCAGAAGATGTCACTCTTATACTGTAAAACATTGTGAAATCGGATTACTTTAAAATGATGTATTACCAAGTCATGGAAAAACAGTCGTGAGCCTGAAAACACAGGCCTTGTACCTCAGACCTGTCATACTGAATACGAGGACAGGCTGGGGTCGTGGCACAGTGGGTTAAGGTGGCTGCTTGCAATGTGGACATCCCATGTAGGGGCACCAGTCGGATCCAGCCTGCTCCACTTCTGATCTGGCTCCCTGCCACCCCTGTGAGAGACCTGGATGGAGAGTGCTGGGCTGCTGGCTTTCGCCTGGCCCAGCCCAGCTGTTGCAGCCATTTAGGAAACAAACCAATGGGTGGAAGACTGACCTCTCTCCCCCTCTGAAAAATATTTAAAAAAAAAATACGGGAACAATGTCTCTGCTCTTCTGCACAATGAAGCTGATACCCTCTAGCCAGTCTGGTTATTGAATTATGCCAAATAGAAGTAAGTGTATAGTTCTTTGTGAATAAAAAGTTTTCATAAGAAAAAAAAATTACAAAACATTAAAGAAAGAAATAGAAGACACACACACAAATGGAAAAATCTTCATGGTCGTGGACTGGAAGAATTAATACCATCAAAATGCCCATAGATGAAAAGCAAAATAGCATCACAGTACCAGATTTCAAGACATACTACAGGGCAATTATAATCAAAGTAGCCAGGTACTGGCTGTAAACCAATGGAACAGAATAGAAACCCCAGAAATTAATCCACACATCTACAACCAACTAATCTTTGACAAATCAGGTAAAATCAATCCCTGGAGAAAGTACAGTTTCTCCAACAAATTGTGCTGGGAAAAGTGGGTTTATGCATGCGGAAGTATGATACAATACCTCTTCCCTATACTTTACACAAAACTTAAAATAGATCAAGGATCTAAATCCACCATCTGGTACCTTCAAATTACTAGAGAAAAACATTGGGGAAACTCTGCAAGACATTAGCATAGGCAGTAACTTCTTGGAAAAACACCCCATAAATACAGGTTATCAAAGCAAAAAATAAACAAATGGAATTATATCAAGCTAAGGAGCTTCTGCACTGCAAATGGAACACTAACAAAGTGAAGAGGCAACTGAAAGAATAGAAGAAAATATTTGCAAGCTATGCAACTGACAAAGGATTAATATCCATGATTTATAAAGAGCTCAAGAAAGTCAACAACAATAAAACAATCAAGGTAAGAAATGGCCAAAGGATATAAAAAGGCTTTTTTCAAAGGATGAAATACAAAACCCACAGACACATGAAAAAATGCTCAGGATCATTAACCATCAAGGAAATGCAAATAAAACCCATACTGAGATTTCACCTCACCCCAAAAATCAAAAAACAATAAATGATGCTGAGGATATAGGGGAATGTAAACTAGTACAACCAATATGGAAGACAATGTGGAGACTCCTCAGAGATCGGAAAATAGATACACAGTATAACCCAGCCATTCCTCTCCTGGGAATCTACCCCAACAAAATGAAATAAGCGTATAAAAGTTATTTGTACCTTATGTTTATTGCAGCTCAATTCACAATAGCTAAGATATGGAATCAACTCAGATATCCACCAGCTGATAATTGAATAAGGAAAATACACACACGTGTGCGCACATACACACACACACACACACACACTAAGGAATATTATTCAGCCCTCTACATTTCAGTGTATTTCCTTCCTCTCGGACTTTATCAATGCACATAATCATGTGTTTTTCCTTATGTAGTGACATGGCCTGTATTTTCCCACTTACTAACATATGGTTATTCTTCTCCTTTAACTTAAAAATCCTCACAAGAATTAGTTTTAATGCTTCTTGTCTTAGTCTCTTTGCTGTTGCCATAGCCAAGCACTTGAAATTGGTAATTCATAAAGAAAATAGGTTAATTTTGGTTCATAGTTCTGGAAGCTTGGAAGCCTAAGATGGCATGTACTTGGTTCTGTGAGGGCCTCTTGTTTGCTTCCAGCAAAGGGAAAAAGCAGAGGGCAAACAGACATGTTCAGAAGAGAGGAAAGGGGGCCAGATGTCTGCAACAGGTGACCCATTCCTTTTAGAAAAGCTTTAATCCTTTAATGAGGGTGACCCAAATACCACTCAATAATCCCTGTCTTCCAGTGCTGCCCCAATGGGAAATCAAACCTCACCATGAATTTTGGTGGGAACAAACCATATTCAAACCCAGAATCTCTGTATGCCACCAGAGAGATACACCTCTTAAATCATGCATCTATGTTGGTGCTATCTCTCCTTGTGCATAATCCTGTCTCTCTACTGGAAGTTTTTTTTGTTTGTTTGTTTGTTTGTTTTTTGTTTTTGTTTTTCTACTGGAAGTTAAATGTTCTACTTAGTCCATATACTGTGCCAAATATACAGTAGGAGGGGACATAGACTAGACATACTCTTCAGAGCAAGCTCAAACGCAATCTAACTCTGGTTACTTGGATCTCTGGACTCAGAATCATAAATGCGAATGGCCATAAGAGCCTAACAGGTAACATGAACACATGGACCGGTGAGGGAATGGAGGGAACAATGGGGAGCAACAAGCACAGTGGTGAACCAGGAAGCACAGGCCTCTTTAAAGGATACCTTCATCTAGTTCAAGGTAACTTTTCTGCCTAAAATAAGGCCCTGATATTGTTTTTTAAGAGAATTTAAAAATACAAATTTTAAATAAATAACCTGATTTTGAAGAATGGTCAATTAATGAAAGTTTAAAACACCATTCAGTCCAATACTATGGAAGGCAAACCAAAATGAGTGGCTTAGTCCCTAAATCACAAATATGAGGCCTCTATTTAGCTGAGTTCTCATGGAAGGATGTAAGAATAGAAATGCTCTGAATCCCCAAAATTGATTAAAGTTCATTATATCCTTATAAATTTAGTTATATACACCCATCTTATTCAACCAGACATCTGCCTAGAATGTTTTATACCCTTATGGAACAGAGCCAGGAATACATCCACATGAAGGTATCCAGGTGAGACACCCAGAAGTACTCAAAAGCAAAAAAAAAAAAAAAAAAAAAAAAAAAGAAGAAGAAGAAGAAGAAGTACTCAAAAGCCTGTAACTCTGTCATGCCTTGAAAACAAGTTTATGTTAAGGGCAGGGTTGAGGGGGTTAGGTGAAGTGGAATCTTCCTGGGCCCTCCTGTCAGTATAAACTGCTACTTCTGATAGTTGAGCGTGGTAATGAAGGCTGTTAGATTTGAATGACTGCACAGCAAATCAAAAGAAGTTGATGAAAGTTTCAAAGGAGTCACAGAACACAACAGAGATCGTGTGAACTAGGGTTAACATTCCCTCAAACCTCCTCAGCTTTAGTCTGATGAACTTCAGGACTGCCAAGATGCCAGCATATCAGACTGATAATGATGATTCAAGGCCTAGATAAGACAAGATCACAGAGAAATAGAAGTGATTACAGAGCTTTGTTCTTCAAGGGTTAATGACTGTGCAGTCCCAAGGGCATGCCAAACTCAGATTTGGCAGAGGGCAGACAGTCAACATTTATTCTTTCAACAAGTTTTCATCAAGCATTTATTATATGATAGGCCCTTTAATAGGCATGGAAGTTCAACTGTGAGCATGCCAGATAGGCTCTCCTGTGCTCTGAGGGTGGAGGAGGGGTAAACATAAATAAACAGGCCATTATAG